TCAGGGGCTATAACAGAGTACCACATCGCTCAAACAGGACTTCTGAGTTGCTAAGAAACTGGGCAGTCCTTTCCCAGGATACCCAGAAGGTAAATTATGGACAGACTCCTACTGACCCTGAAGAATGGCTGCTTCTTCACATCTTCAGCATCACGCTCACTGGAGCCCAAGCGCCGTTCTGGGTTCCGACGCAGCAACTAAATAAAGTTAAATAAAGACCATCAGCATCAGACTATCATATGGACAAACAAATGCACCATTAACCCATACACGCCTTCTGCCCAGACCTGTGGGCATCTGCTCTACTTGACTCTCTCTGTCCCTTCTTGTACCATCCAGACCTGGAGCAGGACAAAGAAGGGTTGTGACTGCTGCATCTTTGGATAAGATCCCAAGTCCTCCCACTGTTCTACACAGCTTCGACTCCCTTATTATGAATGTCCTAGTAATCTCAGAGTTTGGCTCTGGCTATCCTTAGGCTAGGAGCTGCGGTGGCTCAAGTGGTTAAGACGCTGAACTGCAGGCTGTGGAAGGTCAGGAGTTCAGGAGTTCGAGACCCATCTCTAGTTCCAGCTCCTGCCAACCTAGCCGTTCGAAAGCAAGAAATTGCAAGTAGATAAGTAGGTACCACTTCGGTGGGAAGGTAACAGCGTTCCGTGCACCTTGGTGTTTAGTCATGCCGGCCACATGACCACAGAAACGTCTTCAGACAGCACTGGCTCTTCGGCTTTGAAACGGAGATGAGCACTGCAACCCTAGTGTTGGACTTGACTGGCTTTTGAGCAAGGGAACCTTTACCTTTACCTATCCTTAGGCTAGGCAAAAAACAATATCCAGACTCACCCGGCGCATGATGCCAATGGCTTCCGTAGAAAGGAAGCGGGGATATCGCACTTCATCATTCACAATGCTGTCAAACACTTCCTCTTCATCATCTCCAGGAAATGGGGACTGTAAGATCAATGGAGGCAGGGTAAAATTACGGGGGCACTACTGAAGCCAGTTTTATTAATCTCCCTCAGAACGAATTCCTATTACCCTCACTTTTGACTACGCTAGGCCCCCTCAAAAGCTCTCACATAATCCCCTATATCAACTTCCTCCTCTGAAAACAGTTCTTCCCACATCACCACACACAACCCTTCTAAGCCAGCTCTAGCTCTGTCCATTCCAGGCACCTGTAAAGCCAACTCCTTGTGTGGAATAAGCATCATTCAATATTCCACCAAAGAAGACTCTTCAGAGGAAGGCAATGAAAAACCACCTCTGCTTCTTACTTGCCTTGAAAGTCCCTTGCTGAGTTCTCCATAAGTGAGTTTCGACTTGATGTCACTTATGTACGTAATATTCCCTGAAATGCCCATCTTTTTGCTTTTCTCAAACAGGATGGATAGCCAACCTTGTCTATGTCTCACTGCCAAGTATCCAACCCAGTCTCTGACACATACACACCCTGCATCCTCTCCTTGGTCACACAGGTGGGACTTACCTCCCCTACAAGCATTTCATATATTAGTACACCCAAGCCCCACCAGTCCACTGCTCGTGTGTACGAAGTGTCTGTCAAAACTTCAGGAGCCAGAAACTCTGGTGTCCCACAGAATGTACTGGTGCGGTCAGCATAGCCCATCCCTGGCAGCACAGAACAAAACAACTGTCAAAATGCAGCTCATTCATCCACAGCCCTGTTCAAAACCCTGCCCCTTCCTGGGGCAACTGCAGATCATTGTAATGCTCAGCAGGATGGCTGCTAGTTCACTTTCACTTCTGCAGCATGTATTTTATTCGCACTTTGATTTAGTGGATCCTTGGCCCACTGTGATGGTGTCCATTCCACCCTAGACAATCACCTTCCTTGCAGAGGCCAAAGTCTGCAATCTTCACAAAACCTTCCGTGTCCAGCAATAGATTATCCAGCTTCAGGTCCCTGTAAGGTAAGAGAACATGAGGCAGAATTCTGGAAAATATCTTACTAACTACCATAATGGAAGCATAGCATAATGAATCTTGAATTTACATTTTAGAGGCTGTTATAATGACTATTATGCAGTCTTCCACAAGAGAGATGGGATGGGCAATGTTCATTCTGACAGCCCACCAATCCTAGGCAAAGGGTAGAGAAACTAATGCAGAGCATGTGGAAATGACAGTGGAAGGAAGGGAATTTACTATGTTTATGGCCCCCGCTGCGTGTTACTTACCTGTATACGATTTTGTGATCATGAAGAAATTGTAGCCCTAGGACAACACAAGCAGCATAAAATCTGCAGAAAATAACAGAGAGACTTTTTCAATAAGAGACAGTGCCCAAACAAATTCTGTAAGCCATCAATGACTACAGTGTAAATGCTCTGGGGAGTTGGAATCCGGGAGGGAAGTGTGACATAGTGGGTGAGATGAAAAGGCCTCGAAACTAGATATCTTCAGTGTGCTGAAGAAGAGTGGCATAAAATCACACTGAATGAGATGCTTTCGCAAAACTCTTGGCCTATTTCATTCAGTGGTATATGAGCCTCCCTCCCCCAGAGACTGGACTTACGTAGCACGTGGTTCGGTGAATACATCTGTGTGGATGTGCATCATAAGGTCTCCACCAGCTGTGTATTCCATTACGAAACAGACATGCTGGGATGTCTGGAAACAGGCGAAGAGGTTCACTAGAAAGGGGTGCCGGGCATGGGTCACAGTCTCAAATATCCGTTTTTCACACATCAGGCTAGTAGGGAGAAGACAATGTCAGGACAAGGGGTAGCCATGAGCTGAGCTGAGAAACTATTCTTTTATATAACCTCCACTGGAACTGTATATACACACGTATGGTGAGCCGTGATTAGACAGACAGGAAGGGTTCAGGTTCATACTCACTACTTGGTCCAGTCAGCATTCATACTCTCTCAATGAGTGAAATGCAAAATATACATGTCAGAAACTATTCATAGTTCCCACCACCTTGTCCAATCTACAGGCACTTTCACCCTCATTTATATGAAGAGGCATTGTACTTACTACTGGAGACACGTGAGCATGGTTAGAGGGGTTCTAGGTCTCCCTAATAAGGAAAGGGGCAGCAATGAAGGCAGGAGCTGAAGTGGAGATGGTGTGAGCCGATTGGGTGATGGGATGCAGGAGATGATGGCAGCTTCGGAGCCCCGGCACCTATCTGACTGGAGCCACTTCTACTCTGAGCACTAGTTGTAGCATGCTTTTTCAACCTCTGTTTGCTCATACACACACACCCCTTGCATACATTAGTGCACTCTCATGAAAACAACACTACCTGCCCTGACCTGGATAGCCCAGGCAAGCCCGATCTCGGAAGCTAAGCAGGGCTGACCCTGGCAAGTAAGGGAGACTTCCAAGGAATACCAGGGCTCGGGATTCAGAGGCAGGCAATCAAGTCACCTCTCGAAAATGTCCAAATCCCACTAGGGGTTGCCAGAAGTCACCATGACTTCCAGGCTTGCAAGCACATACATACACTCACACACACACACACAAAACCCACCCACAAAACCAACAATAACACTACTCAAGCCCAATATTGGCTTAGGTTGTATCCCAAATTAAACACTGCTGCTGTACCAGAAATATCAGACAATCACAAAGGAGATTTCAAAACAAATCCCCAGCCATCCCAGCACCACTACCTTGCCTGGCTAGCCAGACTCACCTCTCCACTTCATCCCTCGCAACAATGTCACCCTTCTTCAAGGCTTTGATAGCAAAAAGTTCCCCCGTCCGACGCAGCTCAGACAGCAGCACCTACATCCAAGAAGAACACCACCAACAGTAGTCAAGGTTTCTTTTAAGCTCAATTGGATCTCTGGGATTGTCTCAGCTCAATGACCAAAGCAGGCTCAAGAAGAAGAGGCTATTGGGTACTCTCCCCCATTCTGCAACTGGTAGACAGGTGCCTGGAAGTATTGGGGAGAGAAACTGGTTGGAACCCCAGGTGGGCGTGCAGTACTTACTTTGCCAAAATGGCCACGACCAAGCACAGCCACAAAGCGAAAATCTTCCATAGTGAGAGGTGTTTTTCTCAGGCTGCTGCTGAGGGAGAAAGAGCAAATCAAAGATGTGATTTTCCACCACCCAGGCAGAAGAGCAGATCATCACAACCAACATCAACATATATGAGATCAAGAGGGACACAGTAATGACCATTCTAGTGGCAGAATGGGTTTCTAATATATGTGCCTCACACAAGTAAGGAAGCTGGCTGAAACATTACTCTTGTATACAGACTGAGTAGGATTCTTCACATGTTCATTATGATAAAAGGGCCTGTTTGAGGTGAGTGGAAAGTACGTAGAATTGGGGCATGGCCACCATCATTCACCCCATGCAGCTTCTGCAGAAAGTGGATCCTGGTCATGTGCAGTAACTTGTTTATTTATACCCCAGCTTTCCTCATGATTCAAGATGTCTTACAATAATAAAGAACATTTTCAGTTAAAACCAAAATAAAACAACAAACCCCAGATCTCTCCCTCCATCAAAAGATGCCTGCCATTCAAACCCCCTCAAAAGCCCTGGAGCCAGGGGAGAAAAACAAACACAAGTGGGGACCGACAAACAGTTTCTCCTCATTGGGCCTTGAGCCTCCCATGAAAATCCCAGCAGCATAACACAGGGTGGGTATTGTGGAGTCAAAGTCAATATCCTGGAAGTGCTTGTGATATTTGCACATACACATTACAGGAAGCACTGCAAATCACCACAGCACTGTTAACCTGGAGAAACAAATATGTTTTCCAAGCAACAATGTATACTATGTGTGTTATCGCCAAAGCTGAAGCTATTTCTTGAAGGACAGATGAGGAACAACTGTGCAATTGTTGCAATTCAGACTGATTTCCCAGGAGACTGGGTATTTCGTTGATGTAACTGTCCTCGATTCAATTCAGCAAGTCTCCGGGGCTGTGGGCATGTTCTATTGAGAGCAGGAGGCAACACAATGAGAAGAGAGAAGTTCAGATGAAGGGGGGCACAGCAAGGAAAGGTAATTACAGTGGGTAAGTGACACAGGGAAACAGTAAGATGAATGCAGGTGTACATGTAGGGGGCGAGAGGCTGCATGTTCCCTACCTGTGAAACAGACTCTCAGACCCTTTGGCCTCGCCTCCTGGGCCCAGCTCCATCTGGAAAGGAATCTCATCCCCCACTCGTGAAGTCTGAAGAAACAAGCAGATGAACAATTCAGAGAGGCCTGAAGACAACAGCTGAAAGCAGCAGTCTGGAGATTATGCAACAGGCAACAAGAACTAACTCCTGGTCAACCAAACCAAAGACAGACACTTACCAACAAGACCTTACTGGGTAGTTCATTGTCATCCTGGCCCACTTGCTCTACTTGTGCTCTGTCCCCTTCCAAGCTCAGCTTCTCAATGGCAATGTCCCTGGAGAGGGAAAAATGCCAATCTGGAGAATCCAGGCAAAATCACTGTAAGAACTGCTGTTTGGTGAGAAGGTGGGGCTGCCGCAAGCAGTGCCCAGGTCCGTATCCCCAGAGCAAGTGGGCACCACAGCATCCCATTGCTTCCCGGCTGGACAGTTATATGAACTGCAGAGAAATGTCTGTGCCTTGGGGAAAGGCCACTGCTTGCTCAGAGAAGCGGCTGTGACTGCTCTGTGAGCTGGGCCCTGGAATGCAGTGGTCAGGAGATCTAGGAACCTGAACAGCTATGACAGCACCATGAATTAGAAACAAAGCAGGATCCTTATATTCTTAGCCTCCATTTGAAAAGAACAGGTCACATTACAACCAAAATAGTGATTGTGGCAATTGTGGCTAAAAGTCTGTGAATGTTAAGGGGCTTTGAGTGGGACAGAAGATGGAGTATCTGCATCAACACTGCTTCCACAAAAGTACTGCTCCTCCTACCCCAAACCTTTCTTTCCTAGTCCTTGACAATGAAGGGGGAAAAGTAGTAACTCAAAATACAGACGCTTATGACAGAAGAAGGGCTGCGGTGGCTCAGAGGTTAAAATGCTGAGCTGCAGACCAGAAGGTCTGTAGTTCAGCAGTTTGAGACCCCAGTGCCGCATGACAGAGTGAGCTCCCATCTCTAGCCCCAGCTCCTGCCAACCTAGCAGTTCGAAAGCAAGAAATTGCAAGTAGATAAATAGGTACCACTTTGGTGGGAAGGTAACAGTGTTCCATGCGCCTCGGTGTCCAGTCATGGCCACCTGGGAACACATGACCACGGAAACGACTTTGGACAGCACTGACTCTTCGGCTTGGAAACAGAGATGAGCACTGCCCCCTCGAATCGGATTCGACTGGCTTTCAAGCAAGGGAAACCTTTACCTTTATGACAGAAGCTGGGATTGCTCAGAGAAGCGACTGTGACTGCTCTGTCTGCCCACCAATAATAGAGGACACTCACCCAGAGTTGAGACTGTGCCTGCTCTCTGAGCCAGATGTTGGGGTCATCTGTGTTGAGGGGCTATAAGTGCCTGTGGTGCTGGCAGTGGGAATGACACGTCGCAAGAGCCGTACCCATGTGGCAATATCAATGTTCATCTGCCGGGCACGCAGGAAAGCCTTCCCTGAGAAAGACAGAACAGGGCAGGGGGATGTAACAGTTGTATCAGTTCATGCACTGTCATACCCCAGCCGCCAACAAGCAAAAGATCATGTATCACAAGTTAAAGGTGGCAACTAGAATGCACAAGGCAATCAGTCACATTTCACTAGTGCAAACAGTTAGTAACATGGTAATGAATTACTTTGTTTCTGAAAGACCCGAGACTAGAAACTAGACTGTTCCTCTCCCCACAAAACATCACTGCCATTCCAAATCCAAGCATGTTGTGTACACAAATGCAAACTTTAGCTCTACTAGGTTTGTCATATAAGACACAATTACCTTAGAGCTAGCATGCCCTAATGACTAAGAAAAAGGGCTGCGGCCCCACCCCGGCTACGAACTAATTGGTTTTAAAGGCCTTAAAAGCTACAGTAACTCTGCATAAGAAGTGGCCTTAGGACACCCACTATTCCCTCAGCACTCAGACACCCCTTCTCTTTCAAAGTGGCAGTAAGTTTCATGCGTAACAATATTCCATATGAGCTTCACCTCTCCTAATCCTCAGCAAAAATACCGCCCACACCTGTTCTTCACCAAACATGACACTAGTCTACATACAGGACCATATTTGTATAGCTAACAGCTCTCTCTGGCTTGCTAACGGAAGACTGCCCCCGCATTTCAACAGAGGTGCAAGTAAGCCAAGGATGCTCACTAACATTCCTTCAGTCAGAAAAATTGTTTTATTTTCAATGGATTGATTTGTCCACTTTGCTTTCCTGTGTCTCTTCTGTCTACTGAAATAAAATGTTTTAAAATTGGCTCAATCACTGTGAAGTCTTTTGTTAAAATCACCCCTGTGAGCTGCAACAATCCACTGTATGCCACTAGGAGGCCCAACTGGAAAGAAGGGAGAAGTGCGGGACCTATTAGAGTTTTGCAGGGCCTGCAAGACAAAGCTCTTCCGCCAGGCTTTCAGGTGAGGCAGTGGGCGCCCACCTGCTGTTGGCCTCCTCTCTACTACTGGTTTTAGATAGGTTTTTAGAATATTTTAACTGCCGATATGTTGTACTGTGGATTTTATGATGGAACCCGCCCTGATCCCACTTTCAGGGAGGGTGGGATACAAATTGAACTAAATAAATAAATCTTTCAGGAAACAAGTAGTGAGCTAATATCTCCACACACACACACCCGGTTTGGTTGGAGAGCACTGGCACCTTGACAGAGAGAGAATTTCAGCAAAAAAATGACTAATGCTGCTTGTGATAGCAAACTACCTCTCCGTAAGTGATCTGGGAAGAGTAGTGTAGCATAGAGAGCAGTAAACACACACATCTCTCTCTTGTGGTGTAGAACCACCCTCTGGGTAAAAGAAGCACCCAAGTAGACGAGGTAAGAGTTGGTAGTAACAATTGCAGCTGCCCTCCCCTGACAGTCCTATTCCTTACCTTGCTGCTTGGAGAAGATCTTCTTCTGTCGCTGGAGCTTGGGAATGCGTTCGATAACAGGGTTGAAGAAAGTAACCTGCAGGAAGAGAGAGTTGGGAGAAACTGGACTGCACAATGGGCAAGCAATTTCCACCAATAAGGGCCTCAAGGCAGAGGCTGTTGCGCAAGTCACAAGATGGGCCCAGATGTAGAAGTGGGACTGAACAGACTTTTATCTAGAAGGATGAATTCTGCTTTCACCATGGCCCAGCAACAAAGGGAAAATGCTTCCCTTCCAGGCTGGAGAAGGGTTTTGCTCACTGCTCTCTCATCTTCTTAAAAAGTGAGCTACTTTCAGGGAAGTAGACCTTCAAGCCCTGATCTATGGCCTTTCACATCAAAGTCTAAAATAACAAGAAACTGCTCTTTTAGAGCTTTTGCACATCTTTTTAAAATCTCTTAACTACATATATGACAGCTGTAATATGGACTCCAGTCGTTCTTTCTCAACACATTATATTTCTCTATCATTTGAAACAAAATATTTCATGGCTGGGAATGGATTTCACCATGGTTCTTTTTAAGACACTTCAAAAAGTGCATGTATTTCCCAGTGCACTATTCCATCCCCATAAAATGGATAGGGAGGTAGAGATTCCTATTGGAGACAGCCAGTCTTGTGTTCACTTAAAAAATCCATGCACACAATCCAAACAGCTAAAAGAAACACAAATACAGGGGGGGGGGGGGGGAGGGGGGAGGGAAGGGCCAAAGGGGTGTGGATCTGCTCCTCCTCTCTACTTTTTCAAAGCCTCAGAACTATGTGAGTCAGAACTATGAAGCTGGCATTTTATTCAGACTGCAAGAAAACATTTTAATCTCTGTTTTGTTTGGTTCTAGATTTTTAGTTGACACCATTTAACTCAAAGCTCTCATTGTTTCAAACCCTGTCTGCGCATATTCTTTGTTTAAATCTGATTACTAACTCCATAGTGATTACAAACTCATTATTTGTAAATTATCTGTATTGTAAAAAAATTAGTTTTGTTACGTCTACATCAAAGGTCATTATTATACCACGCACATGGATGTAACCCTGAAGTTTATTCCCCAGGTCAGAATTTAATAGAGATATTGCAATGTTTTATGAAGAAGAACTGGCTTTCAGGAATATAACTGAGCAAAACTAAATCTGAACCCTTTACCCATTTGTGCTTATACATATTTCCTCCTTCTTCCCAACCAAAGCACAAAAAACTGGGATGCTATATCATCTCCTTTTCACCTTGGAACATGACTATATATTTTTCCTTATTTTCCTGCTAATATGAGGAGCAGAAGGGACTGCAGGAGAAGAGGCAAATTGAAGAATATAATCAACTACTTTCAAATGGTATTTTATCATTATACCTCTAATTCTGAACTAGGTACCTTTTTAGATCTAAAACCCCATAGAATGGGGACAGGTACAGATAGGCGGTATTTTTCTACAGACCTGGAGGATTCTCTGGGTTTGCATAAATATATAACAAAAGCATATTTAAGTTTTGGCCGAAAGGAACAAGATCTCATGACACTATGTTGTGAGATCCAGGTTGCCATTTTAAAGAAGAAAGGAACAGTCACCTGCTACCGTGTGAGCTGGGCAGTCCAGGAAGAGAGTTGGGCAGCACAGGGGAGGAGGAGTGGGAGCCACTACTGCTCTCACCATGCTGGGCACTGTGGGTAGGTGAGGAGGAACAAGAGCCACCCCCCATAAGGAGGTTGGGCAGAAGATAGCAACTCTGCAAGTGGAGGAGGGGGATAAGTGGGAGTAGGAGATCCTGACATCCGCGTGAGCGGGGAGGAAGGAGTCTCTTGGGTCCTCCACTTGTGTGATTATATATTGTATAACCAACTCCATTTTAAACTGTTACACTGTCCTATGCTTATTGTAAAGCAGTATGAGAAGAACTGAACCAACTGGTCCTGTACCTTCTAGCAAAAAGCCTGGAGTCATATCCCAATTTATATCTGTGTGACAAAATGTATTACTGCCACAGAACTAGTTGTATATTTTTTTCACATCTTCCCCTAGTCGCAGTCAGCAGCAAAATCTGTCTGACTATCCAAATGTCCATCCTATGGCCCTCGATTGACCCAGAGTGACTTCAATTATTTGTTACCTCTGCCAAGAGAGTGCCTTGTGGCTCCAGCTCCAGGTGGATTTCATGGCGTTGGTTGTCAAGGAAGTCTTCTAGCTTGAGGTACTTCAGGGCACAGAGGCTGCGATAATCACGCCAGTAAACGCCTATCTCCAACTCTCTTGCCTGGTGTGGATAGGAAGGGAAACTATCTGTCACAAAGTGGCAAGTAGGTAATGACTCCAAATTGTACCCACATCTGCCATACCAGGTCCCAACCCAGAACTGTAAGCCATAGTAGGTCAACAAGTTCATTCACCATATCCTTGAAGAAGAGAATTCTTGGAGACTATGCTAGAGAATGCTAAAGATTATATATTCAATGCTAAAGAATATATTCTGAGGCGAGTTAAAGGGCAAAATGTCTTGGATGATCCATGCATAATGAACAATTTTCCCTGTTTAATCAGTATTTGACTGTTGATGCTTCTTCTTAACCTTGGAGTTATGTTTGAGAAGAACTTCAAACGCAAATAAGGGGTTTAGTATGACTACTCTCCTTATATTTCTTTTCCACAGTGATGCGAGTTAACCCCTGTAACTTACAGAAACATCATGGAAGGGTGAAGTCTTTGCACATACCCTCTCCAGTTCCACAGTGAAAATCTGGTTCCAGGCTTGCAGGCCACAGGGCTTCCAGGCTGTCTGGCCTACAACTGCGTTATCTAGCTTCAGGACAGCACCCACCTCATCTGTGAGAACAAGGACGACAATGAACTGGGAGTCTGAGGGGCCGTAGGTAAGCGAGAGAAAGTGAGCGGCCTCATTGTGTGCCAGTTACATTGGAAGGCCCACGTGTGCCTCTCCCCCACCACCCAGAGCACTCAGACCCTTCCCTCACTTTAGTGCCCCGAAACCCACTACTCACTGCTGATATCTTCAGTTTTGATGGTGGTCCTGCTGCTTACGCTACCACTCCGGCTGTACAAACCTCGCCCGCTCCGGCTCATGAAAGAGGGCCGTGCTTCGCCAGGGCTGTTGCAAGGCAGAGAGACGGTAGACCCACGGCTACGGCCTGGGACAAGCTCCAACAACCCACTGCAGCCCGACAACTGCACCTCCAGAGTGCCTGCCGACAAGAGAAAGTGAAGGATCCAGGAAGAAGACCAGCTGGAGCCTGCTCAGGAACGTTCAAAGCAGAGAAGTCACACACTGCCTCGGCATTATGATTGTGTAAGCCAGGAGTCATACCCACTTTACACATAAGTGAGGGAGAGAAGACTGGGGTGGTGGCATAAAGTTACTTTGCTAACTATGATTGCTAACTCTGAGCAGAGACTGGATTGTAATGAAAATTCTGGCAGAGTGCAAGAGTTGAAAGGGGCTGGGTAGCACACAGAGCCGAGCCTAGTCCATAGGAAATGCTGTTACCTGTCAGCGGAGATGGCTTTGAAAGGGTGTTGTACTGGTTGTGCTGGTAAGTAGTGGTATTGCGAGCACTAAAGGCAGGAGAAGAGGCTAGGATGAGCTCCTCTTTGATGATGCAGCCTTTTGGGTGATCTTGGGGCAGCTCACCAAGACGCTGCTCCAGAGAGTGATGCAAAAGGTCCAGCTTCTGGCTCGACTCATTCAGCTTGGTCTGTGCCTACAGCAGAAGGCCAGATGGTTCAGGTTTAAGTATTGCTCTACACTCCCACCTTCTTTTTCCATCCATCTCCCAACCGTGCATTATCAGCTCCCCTGGGATATTAACTAAGGCCTGGAGAAAAAGCACTCTTTTGTTTGGGACAGGTTGAGGAGCCTGAATCTCATCTGACTGCTGTTTCAGTAATTCATCTTACAACTGGAAAGCCAAAATGCAATAATCTGTCCAGATCTACATCCCTACGAGTTGCAGTGGCCAGAACTAGGTACTGCAGTCCAAGGGAACTGCATAATAAAAAAGAAGAGCACATGAAGGATATGGCCCTTGTGATCAGCTTCTACCTGTCTCGGATTATGAGTATTAGGATATAGATGGCATAATTATTGTGCCAAACAGTTGATGGCACTCTTGAAAGTTTGCTTGTTTTTCTCTAGACAACTATACTGACACTGAATTCCAGAGCTGAAAATATATGTGGGAGAAGGGAACGGAAACTGGATTATTACAAAAGTATTACATGTTAACTTTCTTGTAGGTTATGGGGAAGAAAAACTAGCTATTTTATGCTGCCCCCCCCAATTCATTCATAATTGTACGTTTGTCTCCTTTGTGCAACCCCAAACAGAGCACTGCTGTTCATTACCTCAGAGATGGCATGGCGGTCTTGAACTTTGCTGGAAGCCAGCAGGCGCAGTACATTCTTGGCCCCCTCAGACACAGCATGCTCCACCTGGAAGTGGTGTCTCAACTCCTCAATCCTCAACTCTATGGCGCTTAGATCAGTGTTACCTGCAAGTATCATTGGTATTGTTAGGTCCAACACTTGTGGTTAGGGAACAACAGCTATTTCTGCATGAGACAGTGGACTTTGCTGTGGAAGGGAACCCAGAAAATCCCAAACCTGAGCAAACTGGGCTTCAGAACCAGGCCAAGGTGGGGCAGAGGGGTTTCTAAAATCTCTCCAGAAAGTATGCTCTAGCTCCTGAAGGACTCTCTGAGGACTGAAAGGGGGGGGGGGGGCTGGCCGTTGCTGAGTGACTGCCTGCCTGCACTGAGAAAGTCTGCAGGGCATAGGTACTGCTGTCTTCATCATCCTCTCTTTCACCTTGCCCATCTTCCACATTCAGTTGCACCTCGTCAGCCTGCACAGCCTTGCGGATCTGCATGCGGATTATATTGATCTTAGTCTTGCTGTCCTGTAGCATCTGCTGGGCTGTCTGCAGCAGCTTCCGATCCTAGAGGGCAGACCAAGTGGGGGTGTGATTACCAAGGAAAGAAGATAATGAGCCGTTAGAATATAATCAGACCCAATGGCAGAACTCACCCATTTGGCTCCCTGTGTATTTTATAACCTAAAGAATACACAAACACTTGCCACCCAAACCTGGGGATACACCAGTCCCCACACTTCTCTGCACACTGTTCAGAGAGCTGGAAACACATCCTAGTCTATCTGTAGTGTCACTGGCCTCTGGTTTGAAAAGGGAGTCTATCTGAAACAGAAAAAGACATCTTGCTTCTTCAAACAAAACTTTCCAATATGAAGTTTAAAAAACAAACCCCTGCAGTTTGCAGGTAACAAATGAAAGTAATTTTAATTTTTAAGTCATAAAAGACTGCACACTGAAACTGTATGGGATGATACAAGAAATCCAAACGGATCACAGAAGTGTCTGCCTTTCCAAAATTCACAGATGTGAAAATGCTGTGGTTTGGGTACTGCTTTAGCCAACTGTTGCAGTCTTTGTCCAAGAGAGGATTTAATATGAAACAGGTAACAGTATGCAATATCTGGACCAACTTTGGCTGGACAGGCAGGTACAAACACCTCCTTAATCTGAATGGAAAGATTTTTTTGTTCTCCAATATTTGAGACTTGTTTAGTCATTTCCAAGTAATCTATTGAGAAGAAAAAAAAGTTAACTGGCAGGGGTTCATGCTGCTATAGCTACCCAGGAATCTATTTTTTTGTAAATAAAAATACAATCAGTCTGCCATTCCTATATTGCTAGAAGCAAAAAGCAAAGAGGCATACTTTGCATGCAAAAGATCCTGAACTTAAGCCCTTCATATATACGCTCAAGGAACTTCAGGTGGCAGAACTAGGACTCTTCACTTGTGGGTGCTCTCTACAGCATACTGATGGAAGGGCAGGCACATTCACCTTGACACTATGCAGGGGCTAGCCAGGCCACCAAATGCCTTTGACAGCTGTTACAAGGGTGGAACAAAAGACAGTGGCAAAGACAGCACACCCACCTTAGCAGCACCATTGTCATACATCAGGATCATGTTCTCCGCCCCCTGCTTCACCTTCAGCTCAATATTTAGCTGCTTCTCCAGGCCAGCAATGCGGCTTTTAGTAGCTGTTGACCGGCTCAGGCTGCCTGGTGACTGGGGAGCAACTGGAAAGATAACAAGAAGCAGTGAGGTTGATGCCAGGGTACAAATCCAAAAGCACCAAGGGAAAGATGTTCTGTGCTTATGCTTTATAAGGCTGATGGTTTCTCTATGGCACAAACCATCTGCGACAAAGAAATGTACACAGCCTTACATTTTCCATCATTAGTATATAATGACAGAGCAAGACATCCTTATATCAAACCATTTCTTAAAAATCATACATCACCCTTGGACGGCTGCACCTCAAGAGCAACCATAAAAGGTATAAAATAACCATTGTCTGTTTCATCTGAAACTTGATGAGGTATGAACTTGGAATTTCTCTGTGACAACAGGGAGCTATGATTACTGCTCTTCAAATATTAAAAGGTAAAACATTAGCGCATGTAAAATGTTGAAAAGCAGTCTGCCTAGAAAGAGGATTCTATCCCTGTGTTCACCGCTCAAGAACACAATGGCTGTCAGAGTGGCAATGGAAAGGGAAATGAATTCAGCTAACAGACAGCATGTCTGGGATTCAAAGTGAACACACTCCTCTGGCCACAGTGTATCAGCATGTGATAGAACTGACTGCAAAAAGTCCTGTTCCATCAAGCTGCTCTGGCCACTGCTGTTAGGGGAAGAAACTCTTACTGAAGACACAGAACCCAAACCTTTTAGAAAGTAAGAGGCAACATTCAGACTCTGGCTTTTAAAATTCTGGTCCTTAGTCGACATTATGTGGAATCAGTGTTAGGCAACGGTATGGCCAAAACACTCCTCATTACTGGGTTTCTTTCTTTCTTTCTAGACAAAGAATAACTATCGGACTAGTTGCCTGCTCTTGCACAAGACTGCCAGAACTGCTTGGTATTTACTCCTGAGCAATGTAGGCCAAAGCAAGCCAGCTGGAATGAAAGAAAAGGGGCAGCTCAGATTTTAAAAGCCAGTATACCAGTGAATAAATCCTAGATTTTCCGAACGCCCAGTCAGAAAGAACACTTGCAGCGTTGCCAGCAAGAAAATACCACAATCCCTGGGCTAAATGGGGACAAGCTTGTGACTGGATCAAATCAATAATCCATCCAGAACTCTTATCATCATCAGTGGTGGCTAAAACTGGATGCCATCGGCCAAGGAACTGCCCCTTCGCAAGAGTGGCAACATTTCAAAGCAGTATGGGCTACTTTCCTGCATCTGAAAGGAGCTATGAGCCTGAGGCCCAAACTCTCTATTACAGATTTTTTTGGGGGTGTAAAGGAAATGGCTGCACCCAGGGCCTGAGCTCTTTTAGCCCAGTTGTTTCCTAAGCTGGCTCTGTCCCTCCTCCCCCTTTTCTGTGGCCTGTCAGGTGCGACAGCAACCACTTCCTCTTGCAAAGTCACAGGCTGCTGTATCTGCATCTGGTGTCGTCCCAGTTTTGTGTAATGAGCTGTCTTGGAATGGACGCTCTAGAAAAACACAAAACCACTGACCTAGGAGTTAGACAAGCAAGATAGGACTGCCACAGATAGACAGGTTCACTTGTTTGTCCCATGGACTCCATTATTCCTTTGCCATTCTCTGCAATAGTGGGTGGTAGGAGACTCATTCCTCTCTCTGACCACAATCATAGAATGGCAAGGTTAGTGTTCCTTAGGAAATGGGGCTCGGGGGAAAAGCAGATAGGGAGCAGCAAACAGACAAGAACTGCAGTGTTCCGAAGCGTAAGGTTTCACACACCAGAGAAAAGGCTCCAGTAGACTAGGGTGGTCAAGGAGCAACAGTTAGAACCGGATATGGAAGAACTGATTGGTTTAGCATAGGAAAAGGAGGACGACAAGGATGTATATTGCCACCTTGCTTATTTAATATATATGCAGAGTACATCATGCGAAATGCTGGCCTGGATGAATCACAAGCGGGAATTAAGATTGCTGGGGAAAAGATCAACAACCTCAGATACGCAGACGATACCACTCTAATGGCAGAAAGTGAAGAGGACCTAAAGAGCCTCTTGCTCAGGGTAAAAGAGGAGAGCGCAAAAGTGGGCTTGAAGCTCAACATCAAAAAAACTAAGACCATGGCATCCTGCCCCATCACTCCTTGGCAAATAGAAGGGGAAGTCGTGGAAGTAGTGGCAGACTTCACGTTCCTGGGATCCCAGATCACTGCAGATGGGGACTGCAGCCATGAAATTAAAAGACGCCTGCTCCTTGGGAGGAAACCGATGGCGAACCTAAACAGCATGATAAAAAGCAGAGACATTACCCTGCCAACAAAAGTCCGCATGGTCAAAGCAATGGTATTCCCAGTAGTCATGTATGGCTGCGAAAGTTGGACTATAAGGAAGGCCGAGCGCCAAAGAATAGATTCTTTTGAACTATGGTGCTGGAGAAGGAGTCCCTGGGACTGCAAGGAGATCAAATCAGTCAATCCTAAAAGAAATCAACCCTGACTGTTCCCCTGGAAGGCCAGTTCCTGTCCTCCTCCCCCTTTTCTGTGGCCTGTTGAAGCTCAAATACTTTGGCCACCAAATGAGAAGGGAGCACTCACTGGAGAAGACCCTGATGCTTGGAAAGAATTTAAAAGAAGGGGACGGCAAAGGATGAGATGGTTAGACAATGCCATCGATGCAACGAACATGAAATTGAGCAAGCTTCAGAGGACAGCGGAAGACAGGAGGGCCTGGTGTGATCTGGTCCATGGGGTCGCGAAGAGTCGGACTCGACTGTGCGAATGAACAACAACAAACTAGGGTGGGGATGTATAGGAACAGCTATAAACAAATAATGCTTAGCAAACCAAACTGGATTCTCTCTCACATGCAACCTCTTGGCTTTGCTCAGGCTTTTACGAACAGTCAAGGCCTGCAGATATCAATGTATGGGGAGAAGGATAATTTTAAACTCCTGCAATTGATCAAATGCCACAGATAACACTAAACAGAATCACAGATGATTAAGATTACTCATTTTTCAGTTCCGTTTTCCAAACTACTCCACCTGTAACCCAGATGTGATAAAAAATTTCCAGATATCCTCACATGGCATCTGAAAGTGATTCCTGAATAACTAAAGAGAAGGAAAATGCATAGCTTCTAACTCAGAAAGGCATCTCTCAACAGTTGTAGGCAAGGCATTGGACAATATAGTTTATTCCTGCCACATTTGGCCTGTGTCTGAACCCTGCTTCCCTAAAGCATTTGAAAACTAGCCAGATGAGTTGTGGGGCACTGGCATTCACACAGCACTGACAAACCATCATATCAATAAATGCCTTTACTCTACAGGTTTACAAATCCAACAGCCTGCACTAAGGTCTTTTATTAATTTGTACTCAAAACAGATTATCTCGCCATCTGCTACAAAACCTTTCTGGAATGCAAGTGAATATGCCAGCCTGATGTCATATCGGTGATTTCTTTACACATGTATAGCTTTTGCTGGACCAACCGTTCTCTTCAAAATGGCTGCCACCCAATTAGGGACAAGTGCAAACACTACCACTTGGGTTACCACCAGACATAGTTTTGAAAGGTTTGTTTGTTCTTTCACAAGGGAAGCCTCACAACACAGCTTCTTTTCTTGAGTCTCAAGAACTCTCGCCAGATGGAATCTCCAGAAAGAGCCTTAAATTCACTGACAGCTGGCTATAGGCTATGCACCATGTCACAGCCCCCCACCCCCTCTTGTACTTCTGCCCGCCCTGTGTGATCCCCTGCAGAGGCTGCTCCTTGGCTTCCTCTCACCCCCATGATTAAATCCACACTCACTCTCCAAGTCCTCAGGGTCTTTGACCACAATGTGAGCATTGAGATCCTGCAGTTGGTGGTGCAGCACCTCCAGCTTGCGGTTGGAGCTCTTGAGCAAGTTCTCCACATTGGAGAGATTTTTACGGTCTGTAGTAGCCTTGCGTAGGTTCTCTGCTCCCTCTTTGATCTTCAGCTCTTTGCGAATTTCACGCTTAATCTTCTCTTTCTCTTCGTCTAACTTCTGCTGCACGCTGGTGTCTGAGAAATCTGAGCTCTGGTCCAAGCCCAGGTGGTCCAGCACTGACCAGCTGCCTGGATCACTCTGTGAGGGGGAAATGGGGAAAAAGGTGGTTACAGGAATGGACATCAAGTCTTAAGCATTATTTCTTGTCCCTCCATCTGCAGCTCTTCCCTTCTGCCATGTTGGAGAATAAGTTAAGATTAGTTAACACATTCCACAATATGCCTAAAGAGCATTGCGTAGTGGTTAGAGTGTCTGACTAGGATCTGGGATCTCCATGCTCGAATCCCCCCTCTGCCAAGGAAGCTCACTAAGTAATCTTAGGCCTACCACACAGGGTTGTTGTTATGAAGATAAAATGGAAGGGAGGAAACACTGGGGAGAAAAGCAGGGTCTGAGTATCTAAATAAATAAATGTTTAAAAAATGACAGGCACATAATTCAACCATTCTACAATCAAGACAGTTAGCAAGGCAGATAGCAACAAGCTCAGCTGCTCCAAAGCTCTATCAAGAACACCACAAATGAAGACACCGTGAACACATTGCAGGTAGAATAAGGAAAAGGAATTTAAAGGAGTGACTGAACAGCCAGCCAAGCACCGCCCAACACTCCTAAATAGAAAGCTAATATCATATAATGGCTAAGCTTGGAGTGAGTCTTTAAACTAGAGGTGGCATGGTAGACCCCTGATCTAAATGTCCTGCAGTTTTTTCTCTTTCTTCCAAAGCAGCCATGTGGGCCACTAATGTGATTAGGGAAGTAATACTGGGGAAGAGGGTGCTTAATCCCCCCCCCTGCAACATTACCCAATTTAAACTGCTCTCCTGTAAAGCTGATATTAGCACTGTGGGGAGGGTGGAAGACAAGTATAGTATCTGCACCTATTAACTCCAGAGTAGTGATTTAGATGGAATTCAGGCTCAGGCCTCTGTGCATCACACCTCTGGGAGACTGACAAGCAATGCCCACCTACCTGGAGGAGGGAGCTGAGGTCCTAAATCTGCGCCGCCTGCAACACCGCTCACCCCACAATTGAACGTTAATGAAGATGAACATTGAGGGCATAATGCCTCACAAACGTGTGAGGCGTGGCCCAAGTACCTGCTTTGCAGATATCTTCCAACAACGCACCTCGCAGGAAGGCTGTGGATGCTGCCACTGCCCAGGTAGAGTGTGCCCATAGCAGACCCGGAAGCGACTTCTTGACTAGCATATAGCACAACTTAATAGTCTCCACAATCCACTTGGATAGACATTGGGACGACAGCTTCTTCCCTTGAGAGGGTAGAGCAAAAAACAAGGCTGGAGATTTCTGAAAAGGCCATGTTCGATTTAGGTAAAAGAGTACAGTTCTTTTGACATCCAACGAATGAAAACGGCGTTCTTCCTCCGTTGAAGGAGACGGAAAGAAAACTAGAAGAACAATGTCCACTTGCAGGTGAAACTCAGAAACAACTTTCTGCAGGAAAGAAACATCTGGAGCCAACGTGACCCCATTATGATGAAAACTCAAATAAGGTGGGTCACAGCGGAGTGCCGATAACTCACCCATCCTCCTGGTGGAGGTAACCGCGACTAAAAAGGCTGTCTTACACGACAAAAGCGGTAGACTACAAGTAGCCATCGGTTCAAATGGTTTGTCCATGAGCCTTGCAAGCACCATGGGTAGATCCCACGCTGGTGTGGGTCCACGTGACGGGGGGAAGAAGTGGGTCAGACCTTTATCTTGGTCTGGGGGTGAGAGAAGACAGAGTGACCGTCAATCATTGGGTGATTGGCTGAAATTGCGGCTAAATAGACCTTCAGTGAGGCACAACTGAGTCCGAGGTCTAAATGAGACAATAAGAACCCAAAGATTGCCATCAGATCAGATAGTGGAGGCAGCAATCCTGACGAGTTAAGGTAAGACAAGAATTTCTTCCACTTTCCAGCGTAAGAAACTCGGGTAGACAGTCTGTGACAATTCAATAGGACATGATCTATTCTGTCTCCGACCGATCGAAAAGGATCCTCCAGATCGTGAGCTTGAGATGCTTCACATCGTGATGCAGAATCCGACCCTTCTCTGCAAGGAGGAGGTCTGCAGCTGGGAGAAGGTGAACGAAGGAGCCCTTGGATAGGTGGAGCAGAGTGGAGAACCAATGTTGTCGGGGCCACCACAGTGCCACTAAGAGACAGCGTGGTTTTTCCTGCATTAACTTGACTAGTACTCTGGGTATTAGAGGAATTGGAGGAAAGAGGAAGACGTGAAGACGTGACCACAGAACGAGAAGACCATCTCCCAGAGATAGGGGATCTATCCCCACCCTGGAGCAGAACAGGTGACATTTTCTGTTGCTGCGTGTCGCAAACACATCCACCTCTAGATGGCCCCAAAGGCAAAAGATTGGGTGAAGATAAATCCAATTGAGCTCCCAGTCATGCTCCGCTGCCCCTCCTCTGCTCAAGAAGTCTGCTTGAACATTTAGTGTTCCTGGCAGATGAGCGGCCCTTAGGAACGTGTTCCATGATTGACACTTGACCCATAGTACTATGGCTAGGCGACATAGCCCCCCCGGGAGATTGTACCTCCCTGTCTGTTGATATAACACAGGGCTGTGGTGTTGTCTGTCAGAACTGTGACCACTTGCTCGGTCACTAGGTGTTGGAAAGACCTGAGTGCATACAGCACTGCCAGGAGTTCCAGGAAATTTATATGATTGTGTGCTACATGGGACTCCCATCGAGCCCCTATACAAAGACCCTTGAGATGTGCGCCCCATCCCCAGAGGGACACATCTGTAGTCAGCGTGAGTGTTGACGTGGATGGATGGAATGGGGCTCCTGCGAGGAGATTCACAGGATCTATCCACCAAAGCAGAGAGCCCAAAACGGATGGTGGGAAGACAAGACGAAGGGACTGGGGATTACTCTGTGGGCGAAACCTGCATACGAACCATAGCTGCAGAGGTCTCATGTGCAGTCTGGCAAAAACGATGACATTGATGGTGGCAGCCATGAAACCCAGCAGCCGCTGGATTCGGTTTGCCATAGCATGTCCAGACTTGGGAATAGAGTCATTAGATCGACAATGTCCCCTGCTCTCTGAGGAGGGAGAAAAGCCTTGCAAACGACAGAGTCTAGGATAGCTCCTATAAACTGCACCCTTTTGGTGGGAAGTAGCATTGACTTTTTTAGATTTACCTTGATGCCTAAGGACGTCAGGACAGTCAAGGTCTGCTGGCCAGAAAGGAGGAGACATCTGAGCGGCTGCCGGCGAGACGGGTGCATGATGACGTTGGACGCTGGCGTAAAGCGGAGCCAGAAGGACGTTGCTGGAACCAGAGGAAGGCGTGAATCGTGCGACCGAAGGAAAGAACTGCCGCCGGATCGAAATGGAGCCCGCCGGGAACGAAGCGAAGCGCCGAGCCGAGA